AAATAAAAAAGATATAGAAATTTTCTTTCATTCTTATACACAAATGCTCTTAACATACTATTATATTGCTGTATTTATTCTACCAGTACAGAAGGTAAAACCATTCATTTTGAAAAGACACTCTTGTGCACATTCTTGAAGCAAATAATGTTGACAATCCTTCCACTGACTTTCGCTGCCTGAGGTCAAGAGAGGATGAAGGAAAATCAATAACAGTTCAGATTGAGCACATCACAGAACTTTGTAGGTCAACTTAGCCGCACAGTAAATTGATTGCAAATAAATGTTTTTCCAGAGATACTATGAATGGATAAAAAGTTGAAAAATAAATGGCTGATCTCTACCCTCCAGAAGGCCCATCATCTTTATTCCAGAGCATATGCCTTTTTTCCCCTCTCAGTACCTTGATTCAGTCCTAATGTCTTAATTATTATTATCATATGGCCTCAGAAAAGGATCTTCCTCACATACCATCTTCTGTATACATTCCATGATTGTGTCCTATTCTTTTTTCTGTATCTCCCATTCCCATAGATTCTACCTTAACTCCTGGATATTATAGGTGCTCAACAGATTAACTGAAAAATTTTCATCTCTGTGCCTGTTTCTACCGATCTTATCTGTAATCCCTTACATCCTTTACTTTTGCATTTTCTGGAATGCAAAACATTGTTTTTTTCTAATATGTATTTTTATCAAAGAGATATATGTACTTCTTAGTATTTTAAAATAAGAGACATAGAATAAAAAACTGCAATCCTCTAATCTATTCATCTCTATACTCTACTTCCCAGAGACAACCACTATCAACTCAAAACATTCCTGAATGCCCAAAGCAAGTCCCAACCCCACACTGCCTTCTTCAATAACTTTAACCCTTCTCTGAATTCCATTAAATTTATACTCGTTACCATATAAATCAGCATTTATTTTTACTAGCTGTTTCAGATGTATTTATTATCTTAACTGTCAATTTATTGAAGGTAAAGGACAAGTCATACTCAATATACCTACTCCTCATTTATTGACTATTTCGTTATCCAACATTTCGCATTTACAATAATAGTAAAAAATCTACTACCCAACTGTTGTGTGCATCAATGATGTACATCTGGCAGTAATGAATGCTGAGGTGTGAGGCGAGAGTAACACTGGCTGTGATGGTTAAGGTTATGTGTCAACTTGCCTGGGCCATGATCCTTAGTGGTCTGGCAGTTATGTAATGATATAGTCACCCTCCATTTTGTAATCTGATGTGATCATCCTCCATTTTCCCATAATGCCGATTTTCACATAATGACCTAGTCTTTGGAACCTAACCATGTCAATAATTGAGGAGTGGGTGTACATACATTAGCATGACACTGTGCAAACTACAGAAGACTTTTTTTTTTGGTTCTTAGACTTGATAGAGCATTAGAATCTCTAAAAACATACTTGGGAAATGATATGGGTTTTTGAAAAAGCTATACTACACATAACCGTCATTTCATAAAAATAGGACATTTCAACACAAGGTAAAAGGGACATAATCTTAATATAAAAAATATTTCTTATATTTAATAAATTTCAGTTTATGAAAAACGTCTATTTTGTTCTTATTTTTCTTATTTTGACATAGACCAAGAATTGTTCAATTAGTGACTGACATCAGTCAAAAGACTGGTTTTAGAAAACACATGCTAAATTTACTTTATGACAGTAAGTACTTGGCTAAATTTTATTGTTATATTCTACTTAAAGAATTTTCCACCAAAAGAATCAGCTCTTTGGAGAAATAGCTCATTACAATTCTGGGACAAGAAATGAATAAGATGGGTCTGGGACACCTTGACACACCAGAAAGAAAATATTAACAACTACTGAGACTATATCAAAAGGACATAAATAGGACAATATGAATTACCACCAAAAAAAAAAAAGGATTTTGCTTTTGGCCAAGATACAGTAGTACAGTAACTAGGACTGGACTTACCCTCCCATCTGAAAGTGAAAAAAAAAAAAAGCCTGGATATAATACATGAAACAATGCTTTTTTCAACTTCGGACATCATACAACAAAGAACAGTGATACCTGAGAGACAAGAAACTAACAAGGTAAACTCTAGAACACCCTAGCTTATTAACTTAAGAGTTCCAGGCCACAGTGGGGAGCAGGAACACAGGAGGAGGCTGGAGGTCTCCCTCAGTTGAGGAGATGAAACTAGGAATCTGTGGAGACCAAGTCTGCTAGAATTCACAAAGAGAGCACTGAAAAGAAGAGGGCTGCACAGAGAGAGCTCTGAAAATCTACAGAGGGTCCCCTAAATCTTCAGCTGAGTACTGATTGGCTAAGGATTAGAGGAAACAATTTCTGAGGCTTACAGATAGCTGGGAATATTCTTCTCACCAGTCAGAGTGAAAAACCTCATCATTCATGGGGCATTGGATAGAGTACTCAGAAGGGTTTCGCCTCAGGAGTGGGACAAAATTAGGTCTAGACTAAATGTTGCTCTGGTTTCACCTACCACAGCTTAAAAGCAACACCTGAAAAGATCACACTTTGCAAATAACTTAACTGTGTCTCAGAAAAAAACTCAAGAACAGTTACAGGAATACAGAAATATGTAACACCCAACAAGGTAAAATTCACCAAGTCTGACACCCAATAAAAAATTATCCAAAGAAGGTACCTGACATCCAATCAAAAAAGGTATCCAAAGAAGCAGAAATATGTTAAACAATACCCTGAGGATACCATCAGCTAAATGCAAGATGTGAAAAATTCCATGACAAATGACCCAGGTTCTTCAACAAATAAATGAATGGCATGGAAGGAATGGATGAGGGAATTGTTATAAAGATAAAAAGAAACTTAAGAAACATGAATCAAATATAAAACAGGGATCTTGTTTGGATCCTGATTTGAACAAACAATTTGAAACAACAGAAAACTGAAATCAGACTGTATATTAGATGACATTAAGGGATACAGTTAATTTTGTTAGGTCTGATAATGACATTGTAGTTATGTTTTTTAAAAAAGCCCTTATTAGTTAGAGATAAATATTGAAGTATTTATGGGTGGAGTGATATGATGGTCTTGAGATTTGTTTTAAAACAGAAAGGAAAAAAAAGTATGTGTACGTGTAGAAGACAAAAACTTAATGACAAAAATACTGATAATTAAAATTTTTTTTCTTAGACTTTTTTCTCCCCAAATAGTTATGGCTTAGGAAAAGTTTACTTACTTGGTGACCTGCCTATGTTGTAGCTACTGAAAAAACAAGGTTTTTGTGAGTTCACACCTTGCTTATCTACTTGATGGGACTGAGTGGCTTCTTTCAGTTGAGATAAAATTTGTCTACCACTGCGCTGAGAAGAGGCATTCACTTCAAATATCTAAAAGAACAATATTTGAAAAAAGGGAGAATGGTTTATGTTTTATTTTAATTCAAGGGTAATTATACATGAATATATTCTCCATCTTACCTATTACTAACCTTAAATCCAAGCTCATGAGCGCAGGCGTACACTGCAGCAGTTTTCCCCACTCCAGTTGGCCCTGTTATGAGAACAGTATTGCAAAGACGAGTCTCTTCATCATCTGAACTTTCTTTAAAATCTATGCTGTCCGATGGGTCTGAAAAATTATTCAAATGCACATAAAATGATAATTGCGCAGGCAGCAATTCTACCTCACAAAACCCAATGATCAAATCACAAAACTTCTGGCCAATAAGTGCTGGAAATTTTAATTACAAAAACTAGAAAACCAAATGTGAAATACCAATTAAGAAAGTTTATAAAACTTCATTGCTAATCTAATTCTGAAAACATCTGGTGAAACGGTGAAAAAAATGACAAAATACCTTCCTGTTTCTCATCCTTTTTTCCCTTCAAATTTTGTCTTTCTTCCACTTCAGCTCTTCTTTTCCAGTCTTTCAACCAACTACCGTAAGAAAATGTATGTTAATAATAATTCACAGAATATAAATCTCTCTTAGACTATATATTAAAATAACTATTGGAGGAAGTTATGGCCTTTTGCTAGTTTTTAAGGTCTCCACAGTGCTTCTGAATCAACTAAATAAAATATTTTTACATGGGTGTGAATATTTTAAAATGAAGTTAATTTTTGCCTAAATATAAGATTATAAGTACAAGGACATTTACTGCACCATTGTTTATATTAGATTCTAAGAGGAAAAACCTAAAAGTACATCAGTAGGGAAAAAGGTACATCATGGTACATTCATATGAGAAAGAAGTCCCTGGGTAGTGAAAATCGTTAATACACTCGACTGCCAATCAAAAGGCTGGAGGTTCAAGTCCACCCAGAGATGCCTCAGAAGGCAGGCCTGGGAATCTACTTCCAAAAAATCAGCCACTGAAAACCTATGAAGCATAGTTCTACTCTGATACACATGGGGTCGCCATGAGTCGGAACTGACTCAACGGCCACTAACAACAACATCATATAATACTACATAACAATTAAAAATAACTGAGGTAGATTTTGGGATGACATGGAAGATGTTTAACATACAATGCTAAGTATAAGCAGAAAGCTTAAGTTTTAGTCTGGAGATTAAATCCCAGCTTCACCACTTCCTAGCTGTGTGATCTTAGGCAAATAACAATCTCTCTGGACCTCAGTTTCCTCATCTATGAGATAAGAGCAATAGTATTTATTTTTATAGGGTTGTTTTAAGGATTAAATAAGCTAAGAACAGTGTAAGTACTTAAAACAGTGTGAAGTTCGTACAGTTAGTTATTATTAAAGGTCCAGTATTCCTCATCTCAAATCTTTTGGGCCAGATGAGTTTTAAAATTCAGAATTTTTCAGGTATTAGAAAGGTACATAGACCACATATTACATAATACCCCTAATGGAGTCTGCAGCAGTACATCCAAAATCACTTAATATTTCTATTTCTAAAAATATATGAATTCCTACTAAGTGGGATAGATAAAAACCATAACAAACTTTAAACTTCCAGTTTTCAGAACTTTTTGTATTTGGGAATTGTAGACAGGGGAATGTGGACCCTTATTAGTACTGATATGATCCCATCTGTCAAGAAGGAAGAAACTAAACCTTTAATAGAGGTTACCTCTATTAGAATTCTTCTGTGTTTTTAAAAAAGATTTTACCATATAATGTATTACTTTATAATTTTTTAATTTTAATATAAATAAAAATACTAAATAGTAAAACTAGTTTCATCAACTATTTCTCAATTCCTTTACAAATTTTACAAACCTATGTAACTTTTTTATGGCTAGTTCATTGCCTATGAGTTCACTGGAGTTCTGAGGTTGATACTTTTCTGTCCAAAGCATGTCTTCAATTCCAGAATCTAAAGCAAAAAATATATATTAAGACATTCTTTTCTTGACATAAATATATATTCATAACTTATATTTACAATATTATTACAATATAACCATAGGTATTTGTATAAATATTTATATTTACAAAATGCCAAGCAGGCAAATTAAAAACTTGACATTTAAAATTCTTCACACTGAAGTACATCCCTCTTAAAAAACTAACCACCATAAAGGGTCATGAAAGTGAGGTTTAAAAGTAAACATTTAAATGTTTAATAATCACTCAAGAAATATGAAACATGAAAAACAATTTGTAGCATTAGAAACAATAGTCTAAAGAGCAAAGGCACATAATCTTTAGTGGAGCTTACTTTTGACCACTGAAAAGAAAACTGATTAAAATATCCTAGAAAGTTAAGCTGGGTAAATGGAGGGATATGCTACACTCCTCACTGAGAAGACTGGATATTGTAAAGATGCCAAGTCACTCCAAATGAATCCATAAACTAATGCAAAATCAAAATCCCAATAGGATTTTTTGGGGGTGGGGAAACATGACAGTTCATTTAGTAAAACATGAAAATAGTTTAAAAAAAAAAAGATTAAATAAGCAGGTAAAAGCCTTATGGACTGAAAACTACAAAACACTGCTAAAAGAAATTAAAGATGACCTAAATAAATGGAAAGACATCCTATGTTCATGGATTGGAAGACTAGTATTACCAAGATGTCAATACTACCCAGAGCAATCTATAGATTCAAGGCAATCCCCATCAAAATTCCAACAGCCGTTTTTGCGGGACGGAAAAGTCAATCCTCAAATTCATACAGAATTGCAAGTGGCTCTGAATAGTCAAAAAATCTTGAAAAAAATAACAAAGTTGAAGGACTCATACTTCCTGATCTCAAAATTTACTACAAAGTTACAGTAATCAAAACAGTGTGGTACTGGCATAAGGATAGAAATATAGACAACAAAATAGAATTGAGTGTCCTGAAATAAACCCATACATCTATGGCTAATTGATTTTCAGCCAGAATGCCAAGACTATTTAATAGCGAAAGAATAGTCTCTTCAACAGTGCTGGGACAACTGGATTTCCATATGCAAAAGAATGAAGTTAGCCCCTTACCTCACATCACTTACATGAAATATCTAGAATAGGCAAGTTCACAGAGACAGAAAGCAGACGAGAGGTTACCAGGGACTGCGGAGATGGGGGAATGAAGAGTTATTGTTTAATGGGTACAGAGAGCTGTTTGGGGTGATGAAAAATTTTGGAAATAATTATGACTGCAAAGTTATCATGAATGTAATAAATTCTACTGAATTGTACACTTAAAAACAGTTAAAATGGCAAGTTGTATGTTATATATATTTTGCCACAATAAAATAAATAATGATAGGAGATCTGCCTTACCGATATCAACACATACTATAAAGCTACATAAATGGATGGATCGATTCAATGGAAAAACTTTATGAAACTATATAAACTAAATAGAAACCTGTCAGAGAGATGTGAAACAGGTAATGTATATAGTATGTTCCCAGGTTTAAAAAAAAAATACATAGTTTAGAAGCACAGAAAAATCAAAGACTAAATACCAATCTGTTAACTGTGCTTATCTCTAACTAGTGAAGCTTTTATACCTTATTTTACACATATATATATTATTGGAATATTGCAACGAGCGTATATTAAAAGAGTGAGGGAAAAAATGAGAGGTTAAAAAACAGAAGAGAGGACCTCATACCATCAAGAGGGCAGTGCCAGGAGCAGAGCGCGTCCTTTGGACCAGGGTCCCTGAGCAGACAAGCTCCTAGTCTGGGGGAACACCGATCAGAAGAAGACCGATATAGAGAAAAAGCCTTCCCCTGGAGCTAACGCCCTGAATTTGGACTTTTAGCCTACTTGACTGTGAGGAAATAAACTTCTCTGCGTTAAAACCAAAAAAAAAACAAAAAACAAAAAAACAAAAAAACCAGAAGAATTTTAGGTCCAGAGGGAGAAAATCTAATTTACCAGGAATACAAGCTACTTCTGGTGTAGATTCTTTGTCATCATCTATTATTAGAATATCAAAATCTTCTACTCCTTCTATTTCCACTTTACATGTTATACTTAAAGTGGTTTGTTTCTTCTTGGATGTTTTAAAAAATATACCTTTGGAAGAATCTAACTTTATCCCAGAGGAGTTGTTTCTTCTGCCACGTTCTTCAAGTTTCCCACTTGTCTTTTTTGGACTTCCTGAATATTCATTTGGTTTCTTTCTTTTTGACTTATGATTTTCGGTTTCCACTCGTTTCCTTTTGGTTTCTTTTTGATTAACGTTGGGTTCTAGTTGTGGGCTTTCTATTTGGACAATTACAGATAGGCATGTACTTACTAATCAACAAAAAACAATTTTTAATACCCTAGAATCTTAATAAGAGGGTGCAGTCATTAAATCCTTTGGCTGCTACCCAAAAGGTCAGCATTTCAAACCCACCAGTGACTCTGCAGGAGAAAGACACGGCCGTCTGCTCCCGTAAAGATTACAGCCTTAGAAACCCTACGGGGCAGTTCTACTCTGTCCTATAGGGTCACTATGAGTCAGAATCGATTTGATGGCAATGTGTTTGGTTTTTTGGTATAATCTTAATATCAGAATCCTGGAGAGAGCAAATGATTAAGCACTCAACTACTAGCCGAAAGACTGGCATTTCTAACCCACCCAGAGGGCCTCGGAAGACAGGCCTGGTGATCTGCTTCAAAAGGTCACAGCCTTGAAAACTCTGTGGAGCAATTCTCCTGTGTACACATGAGGTCGTCATAAGATGGAATTGACTCAACAACAACTAACAACAACAACTACAATCTTAGTATCATTTCAAAATATCCAGTAGTCTTATCACTATAAAATATAAAGGCAACAATCAAACATGGCATACTGAAATCAAGCTGGCAAAGATATTTAGACTGTTTTTCATACAAGTTATAATCATCTCATCTAGGGCTTTCCTTAAATGAATGATTAATATTTTAATATAATTAAAGCTGTGTTTGGGTTGGCATCTCTGGAAGCTGGCAGGAGCCAACACTGAATGACACAAGATGCTTTTATTTCAGTTGTACAATTCTCCCTGCCAGCTATGAGCAAAGTTCTGTTTCTGGCAACTACTTCCAAGAGTCAACGGCTAAGTCTTCATGTTTTCAAAACTGAAAATTTTAACAAAAATGATAATAATTATCACTAACCTTGTTTACCAAGACATTCAGAAAGTCCTGAGTGCTCAGTTCGTTTTTTCAGAAGCAAAGGGAAATAATTTTTCAAAGAAAATTCAGAATTTGACCACCTAATCTCCTCCAGCAAAAGATTCCTTACTTCTTCAGTAAAATCCTTCCTTGTTCCCATAAACTGCAACAAAGATAAAATGCTGAATAAAAGACCTAGATCATCTACTAATATTAATTATAATACCACCAGCCACTTTCTGTCTATTGTAAGTCATTGTTAATGTAGGAGTAGCTTTAGTCAGTAAATACACCCTTGATAGCAAAGCTGCATTAACATAGCTTTTGAAAGACTGAGCTCAAATTTTTGTTGTTCTCTTTCAGCTTACTATACCTTACACATTTATTGCATTATAATACAGACTTATAAATATGATATATAATTTAATATTTCTTTGAAACTGGCAATCATTAATTCTTAAAATGTTTTTAAAGCTCCATGAATATTTAAAAGCGATACATACTTCAATTAGTATTTATTCTTAAAATTAGGCTGGAAAAAATGAACTCTAGACTATAACAGTAGGCACTCATTTTTTTTCCTGTGAAAAATGTGAAAGAAACACTACAACGGTTAACCTCTCTAATACTTACCACAACAGCTGAACTACTGCTTTTCAAATTTGAATTCAATGTTGAAAATTCACCAAGAGCAATAGCACATTTTGAGACATCTATTACTTTAGTGTTCAGTTCTTTAAATTTAGTTAAGAGAGGACAAGAGGGTGGTGTCAAATGCCATAAACGGCACTCTAAAGGAAAACAGAAAAATTATCTTAATTTCATTTACATACCATCCATTTATTGAATGCTAAATATGTAAACATTAAGAGACTTTACAACAGCTACATAAATACAGAAAAGTACCAAAACCCAAATGACTGAATGGGGAACAAAATCCTCACTTCCAACAAATATAATTAATAAAAATTAGCTAGTCTTCTCTCCCAATTGTTAAAAGTGACCAAATATTAGCAAACTTTCTTTTCTTTTTAATTCAACCTTGATATGCAAGGTAAAAATTTTAGGGCCAGTCAGCACCCTGGCTCAAAGTCTGAACTTTGAAGTCAGGTAGACTTGGATTCAAATCCGGGCTCTGCCACTTACTGCCTATGTGATCATGGGCAAGATCCTAAACCTTAGTTACCTCATCTGTAAAGTGGGGATGACAATTATAATACTCAACCTCCTGGAGTTGTTAGGGAGATTAAACTAGGCATGTACATGAAGTGCTTGGCAGAGTTCCAGACAATGTAAGTGTTCAATAACTCTAAAGGTACTAAGAAAGAGAGGTTCCCTCTGTGCTTCCCTCATCTGCTCATATATAAATAGATATGTTAAGTTTTACAGTGGTGCTCCTATGAAAATGGGCTTATCAATTTTATGGAAGAAAAGCATAACTAATTTCTGTAGTTGAACATATTATTAGAAAATGCTATATACAACTGGGCTAGTAGAGATAGTAAGAAAGGATTCATCAATTGAACGGCTGTTAGCCGAATGGGAAATAAAACAGATGCGATTACTAGAAAGATTTGCTAAACAAAATTCAAAAGGAAAAGAAAAAAGAGTACAGTGCAGAATTTCATGGCGAGAGGGAGTGTACTGAACCAAACTGCAAAGCCAGCTGAAGAGAATATAACCATTTCTGTACTGACAAGAAGAGCTCTAGGTAGGAGCCATGACCAATTAAAGATACAGGCTTCGTACATTATCAGTGATTATAAGCTATAAGTAAAGTAAGATTGTGGTTGCAAATAGGATTTGGATCCAAGCAGAATTAGATTATGATCAGGCTAATACCACTGTACAAGAGACTTGTGCAAACAGCTCACTTTTGCACATGCTGCATGTGAGAAAGGAGTGAACTGGAGCAATGAAACACTGCTACTTGTTACCTACGTATTCCAGAAAACACTTATATGGTACTAAACAGCAAAAGCTGTTCTGAAAGGGAGGCAAACAGACTTCCTCCGACCACTCAACAATAGACAGATCAAAGACTAGAGATCTTCTGGGCTCAGAGATGGGTTATGATTTCAGAAAGGAGCTACGTTCCTTTTAGAACACATTGCCTCTCTGGTCACTCACATTTGCCTGTGATATCTGGAAGAAGGGGTAAGGATGCCTTTAGTTTCCCTGCCCTCCCTCCTACACCATCCCCCCTCCAGTAAAGTGAGTCCTAGGCTGAGGAACAGGATGAAACATACACTTGAAATTCCTACTAAAACCATCATTATATTTCAACCTTAGCCTTACCTTTAACCGATTCATGTAGTTTCATATTACTTCTAACATCTGAAGAGTAAATATTCAAAAATAATAAACAAACTTACCATCATCTTTTTGTTGAATATGAACAACTCTCTGGAAACGGGTACTTGCTGTATTGTATGCGTCCAGGGCAGCTGCTTTCTTTGCAATCTGTCGTTTCAACAAATCTGGCAAACCACTCATTAAAAATTCACGCTTTGCTTTAAATTGCACGTCACAATTCTGAGATCTTTCAGATGTATCTTGACTTTTAAGAAAATGATTTGAAAAAGGGAAACTAAGGTCATAAAACACTTAAAAGAATATACTCTCAAGAAAATACATTTTAACTGGAAAAAATCCAGTTTCCTGAATGTTAGCTGACCAAATTCTTTTTGCTTATCACAGACATAAATCTGTCAGTGTTAAGAAATTAAATAAAAATAAATATGTATAGAAAAAAAGACTGGAAGGACAGCCATCAAAATGTTAACTGTGGTTATCTTTAGGTGGTAGGTGAGTTTTTTTTCCCCTTGACTTTTCTGCTTTTCACATTTTTAAAATAAGTGCCATATTTAAAACATTTTCAATATAAGAATCTCTACTGTAATCTTGTTTCCAATATAAAGCAGGGAAATTAGAGTCCTTACATTTGATATCCTACTTTCACCTGACTCAGTTTTATCTGGCTTATCATCAGATTGCCAATCACAGGAATCTTGACCACAGTGGCAGGAGGTGGGAGGAAAGTGGAAGGGTAGGGGAGGCAAGGGGAGGATGGGGAGTTGGAGTGGTAGAGGATATAGCCTGCCATATACAGTGTAAAAACTGTAATATTCTCTACAGATAGAAATTTGGGTTGAAAATTAAAGAGGCTACAAAAACTTTGATTTGTTTTTCTTTCCTATTCGGGAGAAATGAAATCCAAAGCCAGATTGAAGGGATTCGTTTTAGAAAAAAGGAGTTTCCTTACTGTTAATAGGAGGGAAGGACGAGAGGATGGGTAAATAAAGTTGTAGCTAAATTAGTATGACCCTATATCAGAAAGTAAACCTTAAGGAGATAGGTACAACATACGAAAGCAGATGGTGAGATACAATGGTAAAAAAAGAATCTTGGGAGACTAGTTACGTTGAGCAAATAGGCAAACTGATTGAACAAATTAAACATACTGAGGATAATGGCAGTCAAGTTTCTCCCTGATGGAAAAGTTATTTCTAAATATGGGGAAAGGAAAAGCTAGAAAGGATTCTGAGTTGCTGGATTGAAACTGGAAGTATAGGCATGAACTCATGGCTTTAAAATATATCACACATAGACAGAGAAATAGTTTAGGATGTGTGTGTGTGTGAGTACATATACATACGTGTATTTCCTGGTTTTATCTGCTGAAAAAGCCTAGAGGCAATGATACCTCAGGAGTCATGAGCAATTAGCTCTCAGTTTCTAAATACTATCCTCCACTAAAAGAACCAGGGCTCATAGGAGAAATGGCTGATTCCAGTGCAGGGCAGGGCAAGTACAAGATGAGCCTGGCACATCTTACTGTTCCAGAAAGCAGGGAAATGTTCAGTGAATGATGGGGACATGACAAAGGGATCTAGAAGTCAACCTGAAGGGTTCCCACTGCCCAAAGTAAAAATAATTTGAGCATCAAAATAAATAATGATAGTAACAGACTACAATTCACTGAATAACGCAGGAATACATGAGTCCATATTAAGATAAATAAACGAATCAATAGATAAATTAGAGAAGTGAAAGCCCTTCCTTATAGCAGCTAACTAACAAATATAGAAGGAATGATCACAGTAGACAATCACCGTTTGACAACCACTGGAGTGGTGGCTGATTCAGGTGGAGGTCTTCAATGTCAAGGCTAATTACTGAAGATTTGATGATGAACAGGATATTAGTATTCTCTCAGAATACCCTCCCACAAAATACTGCTCTATATCAAAAGGAAAAAAGTAAATTTAATGTGGCGAAACTGGGCAGATATCAACATGTCCAGTTATCAAGGTTAACATCACCAGTGATGGGATGGGTCAACACGTGCCTCCTTATGGGATACACTGAGAAGAGCAGAGTATCAGTTCTGTGGTAATCCTGACAAGGGTGAATGACCTGAGTCTGGTTGTGAGGAAATAGAGGGTCATCCTCTATCATGTAAGGTCTGCATTTTTAATAAAAATGGTCAAGGGCATGAAACATAGGGAAAGACTGGGGAATCTGGGTGAAGAGAATATGAGAGTTCTTTGTAGTATTCCGGAAATCCAAATTTTTTAAGAATAAATTTATTTTTCAAAAATCTTTCATGCTACACAGATTTAGGAACATGAAAACAATTCTAAGAATTATAAACATAAATTATAATCTAAGAATTATAATAGTCCAAAATTAGCAAATTTATTTCTTAAAATAATTCCGCTAGGGCTTTTCACTGTTTCCATGGAGACTGTAGTTTGTTCCACTGTGGAACATGGAAAATAGAAGCAGCATCCCACCGTGAGGTTAAAAATTTAACCTGAAAAGTATCTACCCAGGAGACAGAAAGGGCCACATAAACCAGAGACTTCATCAGCCTGAGACCAGAAGAACTAGATGGTACCCAGCTACCACCAATGACCGCCCTGACAGG